AAAGAGTGAAGGGCACTATCTGGAGTTGCTGTAGGTGCTCTTGATATAGTTTGAGCAGAGAGAAGAGGGCTTCTGTCCTCTGCATGTTGCATAATTGGGTTGCATAAAAGGCTTCTTCCCCCTTGTAGCTGAAGGTGGGGGAGGTTTTGGCAGCAGCCCTCCTGACCGTAAAACTCCAGGAATGGGCAGATGGTGTGAAAAACAAGCTCTCTCCCCTGAGCTTTCCTGGTTGGGAAGTTCAAGGATGGTATAGACCTACTGCCAGACTCAGGCAGGTCTTGTGTTGGAAGTTTGCACTGATCTTGCTCTGCGTTTGGAAGCTTTGCTGGTGGAGGTGTGCTGGCTTGGCATCTGAAAAATGCCATGTCTGCTTAGCAACCCAACAAGCAGGTTGGGTGGAAGAGAGACAGCCTCTGACAGCTGAAAAATTCCTTCTGCTTGTATGTACTGTGTGTATAGTGAGAGAGTCCCCACTAGTACAGCCAAAGAGTCTTTGAAGGGTGAACAAGGTCTAAATAAGGCCCAAGTGAAAGCTGATTCAAGAAATTTTTTTTGCCTAGAAATGGATTAGGATAAAGACTGTCACCTGCTCAGTGGGCAGTTCTGCTGCCTTAAAGCTTCCTTAAGCCATCCAGCCTCCTCCATCTGCTTGTAAAACATGAGGATTCTGGGGCTATCTATCATTTGGATGAAGGGAGAGGAAAAGTGAGATTTCCTAGGGTCTGTCCTGCCTCAGCTGGCTGTGAGATGTTCATCTATTGAAAGCTTAGTCTCCTTCAGACCTTTCTCTGGCTCCTTATCAGCACTACAGCAAAACAAAATTGTACCAAAAGTGCACGGGCACTTGTGTTACGTGTCTCTGAGTGCCTCTTACTGTAAAAGCATGAGTAGAAACCTCATGTGTAGTGTTTAAAAACAAATAAAAAGCCTGAAAGAGCAACCAAAAGCACCTCTGAAGACTCTGCACTCTTTCATGGCTATACTAAGTTGCTTTGGTAGCAAATGCTTGGTTGATCCAGAAAGCCTTAGCAGAAGGATGCAATACTTCAAGTGGATTCTTATCTGGAGAACATCAGACATGCTGGTAGTATGTTTTGTGTAACAGAAGATGTGCTGTTTCGACACAGACATACAAGGCTGTTCCTTTTCAGTAAATTAAACAGCTGCTACTGGCAAACTGTCAGCCCTGTTTTCTCAGCAAAATGTTGTTTGTAGCCTTGTACAGCTCAGTTTAAAGGATTGAGCAGAATGGTGAAGTATCTGTGCTGAAGACAGTGTTTGTTTTCGTCTTGAATCAGCAGTCCCTTGGAGAGATGCAGCAGCAGCTGCAGGAGAAGACGCTGGCATCTCCTACCCAGGATTCACCTGGCTTTCTGCATGGATCTAAGGACTCTTCTGGAAGCAGCAGTAAGAACTCATCCTCTTACACAGAGGACTTCGTTATGGTCCCAGCACAGCTCTCAAGTAAGCTTGTTTCTGAAATTGCAGAGGGGGATGTGGATATTAAGGATACTTAATAGAAAGTAGAAGTAATGTAAACTTGTCTGTTTTGACTGAAAAACAGGAATGCTTTTATTCTCAAGCTGGAAGAGACATCTATCTCACAGGCTAATTCCATAAGATATATTGTAATTACCTTCAAAGACAGGATTTGAGAGTAAAGATTTCTTGGAGACCTCAATAAGAGTTTGAACCTCCAAAGCCAACTTGAAAGAAAAGAAGTAGGCTCCCAGAAAGGTCTCACTCTCACAGAAGGCCTTCCCTTGTCATCCTGTCTTCAGTTTCTCTCAACATCAAGTCCAAAGCAGCTAATTGCTTGCATCAAATGGGCATATATACTTGTTGCCCCAAATGATTCTGCCAGGTTTTGCTCCCCTTCCAAAAGGGCTCCCTTTCAGCCTAAATTTTCCAGAACTTCAGGGTATAAGGATCAGCAGCTTCAGCCCACATGGGTTTGGCAAAATGCTGCCTTCAGAAGCAACTCAGCAGGTCTTGGAGAGGCAGGAAATTCTACCCCAAAATCTCATTTTTTCTGAATATATAAAGATTGTTATCTTGAACTAATGTGTTTTCATACTTCCTTGTTTCTCAGGTGATTTAACTGCAGAGGCTGCAGGAGGGAAGCCAATCCAAGACAGTCTGATGTACAGTGGGTAAGAGAACCAAGGCAACTGAAATTGTTTAGCCACTGTAATGTGTTGTGTTAGGGACTTGTGGGTTCTGGTGGGTGGGAGGGAAGCAGTTGCTGAGTCAACTTTTGTTTCAGGGATGACTGTCACCTGCCTGGTTCTAACCATTTTCAGTTTGACCATCAGCATGTGGCACCTGAACACCAGAGAGTGTTTGTGGGGCAGCATGCCAGTCCCCAGGGCTCCTGTGACTGGACTCAGCAGAGAGAGCTGGGCAGACACAGCTTTGTTGCTGTGCTTTGTGGGGGGGGGGAGCAGGGTTGGGTCCCAGGCTCTAACAGCTGAGTTCTTTCAATCATTCTTCAGGAGTTCTCTGGTGACTTCAGCAGGCTTGGAAAGCCAGGGAAGGACACCATCTCCTTCACCCCCATATAGCAGTTCTCCTAGCCCATCCAGGTGAGAAACTGTTCAGTGGTGACTATGCAACATTGATTAATCAAACACCTATTGACTTCCAGGAGGGAATTTTACAGATATTGGTGCAATGGCCAAGATCCACATCTCCACCTGGGAGAAAGTCCCCAGCCTCAGACACTGATCAGTCCCAGTTACGGAGACTGTCTCTCTCTCATCTGGCCCTCAGGAGGGGCTAGGAGGGAACACAGTAGAGCTGAAATTAACTCTGTTACCTGGGGGCCAGGAATTATTCTCAAACAAGAAAGTAAATGTACTTCCGTGGCTTGTATGTGCTACTCATTTGTTGTCTGTTCAGCCTGCAGAGGCAGCAAGGATTCCAGCTGAAGACCCCTGTTCCTAAATTCATGCCATGAGTTAGAGCACAACATTTCAGCCAAGGCTGCAGCTCCTGTAGGCTTGAATTACTGGGAAGGGGATAGGAGGGCAAATGTGGAGGAGTTGCTCTTCTCCCCTTGCTGTTGAAGGACAGATCTGGACCTACTTAGTTGTTCATATTTAGCTTAAAGCTACAAACATGTCCTTGCTGCATGGGCCTTGTTTAGTGATGGAGGAGTAGGAGTAACGAGTGCAAACAGGTGTGCTAGGTTCAGTTCCAACTAAACCACTTGCTATAAACTCAGCTTTAGCCTTTAGAAATGCTGTAGGTGCCAGCTGCCCACACACAAGAGCACCAGCTGCCCAGCTCCACCGGTGCCTCCAGACCCGTTTATGTTCAGAAGATGTTAATTGTTTGTGGAAGGCAATTCCACTGACACTAGAAGTTTACAGGGATCTGGTGGTGGTTGCATTCAGTCTCATTCTTGCCTCCTGGGGAAGCAGGACAGCTGTCATCTTCTATTTTGTCAACATGGCACGTGTTGGGAGAGAGGAGAATTGAATAGGGTTTCACAGGGGGAGATGGATGACCCTGAAATCTTTCTTAAGAAAGCAGTGTAATCCCAGGCTGTGTAAACACACTTGTCACATAAACAGAGGCCAGAAGATGACAAACATAGCCTCAAAGTGCACACATTTAATGGAGAAGGGTACAGCTCAGAGCCTTGCTGACATGATCAGATGAATTGGCAGGCACATACCAGAGTGTGGAGTTCAATTGCATGAGGCTTCTTATGCCATTGCCTGCTAAGCTTTTTAACAGCTTATTCCTTAACTGATTCTATTGCATTCTTGAGACCAGTGTTAAAGGATTTGACCTGGTTTCTGGGCAGCAGTGAGTGGAAATTCATGGAAGTTGACTACAAATGCTGTTCACCACTTTCTTCACCAAACAGGCCTCGTTGTACTCTACTGGATCACAAGGTGGCAAGTCAATGCCAGTGGCTATGATCTAAACATGTCTCTGCTCCCACTGTCTTTCCTACTCATTCCCAGCAGCTTCTGTGGGGCAGATGCCAAACCCTCTAGTGCTGCTTCCCCCTTTTCTATCTGCTTTGAAGAAACACTGAAAAATTACTTCCTTTCCTGTCCAGGATGGGGAATAAGATATAAGTAATGAAAGATTGGAGCAGTCGGTCTGAGTCCAGAGTGTAAAGCTCTTTGATCTGTCCCCAGAAGTGCTTTGAACTGGTGCCACCTGGGTATGTCCTTACTGTTAACCTGGGGTTTCGTGCCCTTCACTGCAGTTGTCATGAGGCCCATTAGTTCAGTACTTGGCTTCACTGGTGCAGAGAACTCCTGGTTTTCTCTCTGTTTGCTCACTGGGAAGCAGCTGTTCTCCCTTTCATGTATGGCTCTAGGCTAGCAAGCAATGCTGGATGCAGTCCAGCTGGGACAGAAAGCAAAGGCTATTTTAGAGTAGCCAGCAGTGGGCTTTCCTCAGGATGTTACAGGATGCTCTCGAGCAGCTCTCCTTGTTCTTAATTAAATAAGAGTGGAATTAAAATATGCTGACAGTTGGCTTTTTTAAAAAAAAATGAGTTAATGAAAAGTACTTCCTTGAATGTATCCCACAGCAATGGATTTAATGCCATTTTCAAAGAGCTTTTTAAGTATTGCCAAGTAGTTAAACTTCCTGACCCAGCTTTATCTCTTGATCTTTGCAAATTTATGGTGAATTGTAGTCTTTAAGGCTTGATGCCAATTAGCAGGCTTAGTATGTCACCTCATTGCGTTTGCAACTTGCATGTTGTGGAGAAACTTGTCTCCCATAGGGAGAGTTCTAACTCTTGGAGAGAGGGGGTATCATTTCAACTGGGAACTTCTTTTCCACCAAAGGATTTTGACCAGATGGAAGAGAAAGTGTTTGAAAATTATGTTGTAAATCAGGACATGTGTAAAGCTGGACATGAACCATCAGATTCCTTGAGTAAATGAATGTATTTCTATAAAGCTCTGTTGGCTTTGTTTGTCTAACTCCATGTCTTACACTGATGGAAGACACAGGCACCAAAGCCTCAATCTTCCACTGAGCACTCAGAAGCCTTGAATGCCTTTCTTTAATGGTATGACAGTGAAGAATCAATGTTCCCATGCTGCGTTTTAGAGACAGGCATGAGATTAAAAGTCTGTTCTCTTGGTGGAAGAAATAAGGAGGAATATATAGAACTTGAAAAATTAGTAGACACATTGAGAGAGGAGCAAAGAAATTGGAATTGCATTTTGATCTTTCAGCCTTGATGAAATATCTCTTCTAGTTATTTGGCTCTCTTGTGACTGAGGAGCATCTTCATGTGCACAGTGTGGAGATCTGCAGCCACATTCCTGCAGATCAGCTTTGTTCAACACTGTCACTGTCAGCCACAGACGACTGCTGATCTTCCCCAGAAAAGAAATTCTGATAATGGGATGATTTGCCAAATAGGACACAACCTTTCTCTCTTCCCCTATGCGTGCATGTACATTGTTGTTGAATTAAGTATATCCTTTCATCTTAAGTAAAACACTTCCTCTCTGAGTGTTCCACCCGAGAAGTGATGCTTCCTGCTTCCCAGGGGCAGACCCAGGCGTGTGTCTGTGATTGACAAGGAAGACTGCAGAAGCCTTCATTACCAATAAGATCTTTCTGTAATTGTGCAACATCCCTGCAATTGGTGTTGGCAGTTGCAAATAGCCCTGCCATGGCAATTAATCCTGGAATTCTGGAGCCTTTGGGAAAAGACTTTAGACAGCTACTTAGTTAAATGTGGGTTGTGTTTTGCAGGGTTTGTGTGTAGCATGGTGTACAGGCTGAGTAGCAGGGGAAAGTGTCACCTGAAGGAACAGACGTGAGCTGATTAGCCTGTTTGGATGGAGCTAGAGAGAAGTTTGGAGTTTGCAGAATGTCTCTGTACCATTTTGTGTGTGTCATGTTCTATCTGACCTTGATGGGTATATAGATATCAGCTCCTGTCACCCAAATTTATTCTCTTCCAAGTTGCTTTCTCTACCCTGTAGTTAACTTGCAAATACTCTGATACTCACCACAAGTTTATACTCTTTGTGGTGTGCTGAGACTTTCATGGAGATGCCATTGGTCCAGCAGTGCCTCTGCATGAGTTGCAAGTATCTCTTGGCAGGAAAATCTTTGCTGCTGTCCTTTGTGAGCCACGAGTGTTTAGCCCTGTTCAATGATGTGCTCTTTGGCTGTGGGTCTGAGCTGCTGGAAACTAGGCCAGTTGTGGCTTGAAATAACAGGGCTCCAGTTTTCCTGGAGGGAGTGATGTGCTTGGGTGTATGTTTTAACTTAAGTCCGTGGATGGGAATTGTGCTGGAAGAAAGGTGCCTGTCTGCAGGTGTGTGGTGCCACTTCCCTGTGAGATGACTTTGAACTGCCTCCCATTATAAACCCACAGCCCGCGAGCGGCCAAGGAGACACTCCCTGTGTGTAGTTGCTTTACAAAGATAAAACCTCCAATTACCTGCCTGAAGGCCCAGCCCTCACCAGAGCCTTTCTTTGTGTCTCTTAACAGCCGGCCTGGTCAGTTCTCAAGCAGCAAGTACGGACACTCTGTGCCCATCCCAGTCCCAACACAAATCCATAACTACCGGCGGATTGAGCAAAACCTGCAGTCTCCCAACCAATACACCTCTCCACGGTAAGTGCTGGGGCTGGGAAGGGGGCTACATCAGTGCAGGGGCTCTCAAATAACAGCTTGGGGGTTGTAAAACAAACTACTCTACAGTTTGTACCTTAAAAACTTCCCTGTGTGATGGACTCTCCCCCTTGCTGTAGGGAGCCAACATAGTGTGTGATACGTGGTAACATAGTTTTGGGGCTATTTTTGTGGTGGTGTTAAGATGTATTTGTTAGCATGTACTGTAAATGTTGGGGTGTGTATGAATGTGAAGTTGCTTCCATCAATTTTCAGTGCAGGCTGAGCTCCTTGGAGTCTGACAGCTTTTCCCATGCCAGCTGTGGGTTGGATGTCCAAGCAGAGAGAACCATCCATCTGGCAGATGCTTTTATAAAAGGAAAAAGCTGAAATAAACAGCTAAAATAGACAGGACTGCAAAATGTACCTGTCTTTACCTTAATTGGTTCCTGTAGCTAGTCACACCATAGATGACGTGTCTGACACCAATAGCATATTAATGTGGTTGTGCAGCTAGGGCTGATGAGCAATTTATGAGGCAGAGCATGTTTCCTGAAGGCCATCAGAAGACCTGGATGCCAGCCTTCTGCCTTACAGCTGACCTGAGTTCCATGGCAGTGCCTTGTACATCCAAAACACACTGGGCTGCACTCTATTCTCATGTATGGTTTCTGGTTCTTACAAGTTTGAAATCTGGGTTGACAGAGGCAGCCCAGGTCATAGACTGGTTGGAAGGAGACACATAGAGGATCTCCAGCAGGGGCATTCAAACAGAAATGTCTGAGGTGTCATTTTTTTTTTTTTTTTTTATGAATTGCTTTAATATCTGGATTAGTTAACATTTAGATTTCAGAAGTAGGGTAATACCTGTGTCAGGCTAAGTTCAGACTTCAGCCAGCCTAACTTAGCATATGGCTTACTCAGAGTGGACCCAGAAGTAGAGACACATTATGTTGGTGTTAATCAGGGGCCAGCAGAGACATTGTTTTGTGCCAGTGTTACTTTAGTAGTATTTTATGTATGTCCTCTTATTTGAGTGAGTGGCAGGTTTTGTGGTAAGCTCCTTCCTGTATCCTACATGCCTTGTATTTTTTACAGCAAAACTTGTGACCTTGTCAGTGTTGAAACTCACAGATGAGTCCTGGTTATCCGTATGATGTATAAAGTGAGAGCTCTGGAGAAGGTGCAGAAGATGCACCTGAGCATGGTGTGCCTACCTCAGACCTGATGACAGGCTGCTGAGCTCAGGTTCAGAGCCTGCAGCTACCAGTTGAGGATCAGGCTGTCACGTTTGGCTGCTTTTAGTCACCCCTGTGTAATGATGAGATTAGCATCGTCCCTGCAGAGGAACTCGAGGAATGGTTGCAATCAGATGATTCACACTCTGCTTTTAGCACCTTCTCAAAATCTCTGGCGTCATGTTTTTTTCTGCCCCAGGAAGGCATATTTATCTCTCAGCATCACTTCCTCTAATCAGCAAATTCAGTAGACACCCTTCAGGAATGGAAGGAGAAAACTTCATCAAGCATTTAGTATGTGGTTCCACTTTTCCGTCAGGTGTATCAAATAGGCCATTGCAGCCAAGTGTCTTGTTGTGTTTGCCAAATAATTTGATTATAAATTTTGACATGTGCTTTTGTTTGTGAGAAATTGACCAGTGTCATCTGACTGGCTGGTGTGTGCCTGTGCAAGCGAGCTTGTTTGTGGATAGATGTGTTGCTGCTGTGGTGGTAATTATGTGTGTGTACTTCTGGCCACATCACCTGTCCAGCTTGTCTGCTTGCTTGCTTATCCCATGTCTTGTAGGGTGGCATTTGACATTCCACATCTTTCAGCAGCAGCAGTCAGCTGGTGGTTTTTTCTGCAAGTTCCTGATAGATGGTGTGCAGCCTTTTGGATGGCATATATTCTGGGGAATTAAAAACATGGGAGAGCAATATTTTCTGACTTGGAACATCTGCTTATCTTTCCACCTTCCCAGGGGTCCATGTCCTTTTTGCTTCAGGCACTTAACCATTAGGCTTCTGAACCTGGAGAAGCCTGAAGAGAGATGATTTTTAGGTTAAAACTTCAAAGGATTTCCTCTTTTCCAAGCGTGTAAATACAGTGTGGATTCATTTTGCTGAGAAATGTGGTAACATAGTGAAAAAGAGGGAGGAGATGGCAGATCGGATTTTTATATCTCAACTACTGAAATAGACTTTTATTTATTTCCGTTCTTTTTGAAATGTGGCATAGTCTTGTTGAGTAGATGTACTGGCACTTCATCAGGATGACTTTTCCATTCCTGGGTAATGTAGCTAGCCCTGCTTGCACCAGTGAAACTAACCCTTCATGCCATCTGTTCAGATACTTATGGACAGCTTAATGCAGTCGCTGGGGGAGGAGGCAGATTACCTTGGTGAGAACATCTTTCAGTTGCTTGAACACAGAGGGGTTTTTCCAGCATATTCATTGATTCTTGTCCAGAAAACCACCTGTGGTACTGGCTGAGGCCAATATTCTATTAACAAGGGAAAAGGTGTTTCCAAATGCAGAGTAGCATGAAGGATGTGATGGAAACACTGTTTTCTCATACAGGAGTGTAAGAGGAATCTTGGTGAAGGAGTCTGCAGAGGCAGAGTGGCATTTCAGTGCATAGAGTTTAGGTTGTGTGTTCTTAACAAGTGGTGAAAACGTTAAAATATTGATAATTATTACACAGTAACCCTTCTCTCTCTCCAGAGTGCTGATGTGGTTGTACTCATTCTCCTGCTAGTCTAGTTTCATCTCTTGTTTCATTTTAGCAGCTGGGTGATACTCAAAGTTCCTGCATGTGTGGGCTGCACAAATTAATTTTAAATCCCTAAGGTGAGGCTTCACGAGGAGTTAAAGGAGTTTGGAGCTCAGGCAATTCAGACTATCCAGCCCAAAAAGAAATCCTCTGGGTAGTACTGATCTGTTTCAGATCTGGCAGCCACACACTGTGCTGTTTTGCTCTGTAGCTTCTGATTTGAGTCAAGGCTCTGTGGCAGAGCAGTGCCTTGGGCACAGCTCAACCCCCTGGCACACACTGTGCACTCGCAGAGCTCTGTACCTACATGGCTGCTCTGGCAAAAGGGCAAGTGGCTCATCACAGGAGGGACACTTGAATAAAGCCCTCTCATAGCATTCTGAAGACACTGCCTAAAATTAACACCTTGAACATGGCAAGATAGGAAACTCATGTCTTGTTCATGATTGACAAAAAGTGACTTCTGATAACTAACAGGCTGTCCTGCTTACAGCTAAGCTGACATAGTTTGTTCTTTTCGTTTATTTTGCACAATGTTGTTTGGATTGACACTCTTGAGAACAAAGATTATCATCTTTATCTGTATTGATGCAATCCTAGAACCAGTGGGATTTTGATCCAGGGTCAATAGTCATGCAGCTTTGCTTCTGTGTGTGTATGGTGATACTGTTTTCTTTTCTTTACTGGCATCTGGAGTAACATGTGCTGCTGTTGTTTCCTACAAGGTCTGGTACAGTCCGGAGGTCTAGCAGTACAAGTCCTCTTGGTTTTCCTAAAACTGGTGCTTCCCCTCCTTATCCTGGAGAGCATGGCTCTGTGCCCAGCTCCAGAAAACCCTCCTTTGGCGGTGCCAAGCCATTTATGCCATCACCACAAGGTAAGATGTCAACTGACCTGTTGCTGCCCTAATAAAATTAACTGCCTTTTTCCTGTAAAGAGGGTGGTTGTGACCAGCTGTAGCTGCCAGGTAACAGAAAATTCAGATTATGGTGTTCTCCCATGGCCCTTGTCAATAGATTTTAGGAGTTTTTTGGTCTTAGTAAAATGAAGAGGAAAATACCTATTGGCCCCAGGAAGGACGAGCTTTGTTATGGTGTCTGCATCAAACATTTTGCTGCCCTCTGAGGAGGACTTCTGTAAGTGCAAAGTATCTTTTTACTGGCTTGGGCTGTGGTGAGCCAGTTGTTGTCAGAGGAAAATTTTGACCAGCTTTGGAAGGGCTGCAGCTTCACTGTTCAAACTGAAAAGTAGTGACCTGAATATCTGGTAGCCTGGTCCGGATGCTAAGAAGCAAGTGGAAAAGGGCTAAGAAAAAACCCAGTGTGCAACTAAAGCAATTGCTGGTTTTTATACTGTAGCAGTCTCTGATTTAACTAGCTATTCTATATGCCTAGTGTCTCCAACACTGTATTTCTTTGTCTATGCTGGTGGGTAAATGCAGAATATTACTGTTCTATTCCTCTGAATTATTATCACTGCAAAGTCAGACTAAAGCTGGCTAGACTAATGCCAGACAGAGCTGCTTTTCATGCTTTTACTGGAGTTGTTGGTCTTTTCACTGCACATCTTGGACTGAGAAGGTGGAGGAGATAACAAGTAACTAGTGGTGTTCTCGCCTGTTGAGAATTAATGCTGCATAAACCTTTTTTATTGTGTTCTCTCAAAGTTGGAACAATCCCAGAGCAGCCCAGCCAGACTGTTATCCCCTCTTCTCTTGGAGCAGAAGTGAGAAGCCGGATTCCTGTGGCTGGTAAGTTGGTCCTTACCTTCCTTTGTTATGCCTATGGATAAGAACCATACTTTCAAAGCATTCAAGCTTGGGTATGTTCCTTCAGCAGCTTCTTTTGATGCTTGGCCAGCCAGGATTTCTGTGTGTTGGCAGGAGCTGGGTTGATCCCTCCACATCCCATCAGCCAGCTTCCTCCAGTGCTGACAGTATCACAGAAATTTGAATTTATGACTATGAGTTCAATGGATGGAGTGAAACTTCTCAAAACCCTCAAGTCCCTTTCTACCAAGTGCCCTGCTTGATGTGTAACTTCCTTGCTGCTGAGCTCTGACAGTCAGGTTCTTTCTCTATAAGGGCTGCAATACTATCTTGCATCCTTAGCCATCCACTGAAGGTTTTGATCAGCAGATATTTTAGCAGAGGACCCTGGGATCAGGCTGGCTTTTTGTGTTAGAACCAGAAAATGATGCAATTTGTCACTCTGTGCCCTCCAGGCTCCTCAGTGCCCGAACACTCTCCAAGAGGGATGGGCTCCCGGCTCCACAGTGCTCCCAACCTGTCAGATTTGCATTCCTG